AAAAAAAAAAAAAAAAAAGCCGTGATCGGCGGGGCAGTACAGCGGCAGGTCCTTTGCTCCTAGAGGGAGTGAGGGACCTGCCGCCCCCGAATTGCCTCAGGTGCCGCCCCTCTCCCTTGGCCGCCCCAAGCACCTGCTTGTTCAGCTGGTGCCTGGAGCCGGCCCTGCCTCCCAGGCTTGAGAGCCTGGGGGGAGGAGGCAGGGCTGGGGATTTGGGGAAGGGGCGGAGTTGAGGCGGGGCCGGGGGTGGGGTAATTAAAAAAACGGGGGCGGGGGAGGGCGGCCAAAATTGTTTTTGCTTAGGGCGCAAAAATCCTAAAGCCGGCCCTGCTTGAGAGTTTTTTGGGTGGTGCTGAAGCAGTCCCCATTGCAAAACTGTCACACTTATTTGGTATGATTGGCCAATTCTGCTCAGGAAAGCTAGCCTGGAGACTGAATGACCCCCTCACCCTTAGAAGGGTTTGAAAGTGAGCATGGGGGTGGAGAGACTTGCCCTGAGACTGTTTGCAGCACACCACTGTTGGAGCACAGTCCTACCTTGCTTTTTCTAGCCAAAATACTTGCTGCTCTTTTGTCTGTTCTTTTAATTTGAGACCAGCAAAAGAAGCAGTGACCCTTTATTTTCTGGATGGCTCTCCATCGCTTGAGCATCTTGGAGGCTCACTTGCTGTGACTTGCAGTGTCAGAAGCTTTTTAAAACTATTGTGTTAAACACAGACCTAAAATTAGCTAAGCACTGGCTGAGATGAGATTAGTTAGGTTTTCCTTACTCTGCCTCCCCCACTCCCAGCCTTGCAATGAAGAGATTAAAGGGGGACTGGACTGTACAGTTAAAAATCATGCACTTTAAAAAAACAAACAACCCTCCCTGTTACTCTGCTACTGACACCTGAGATTATTACAAGTGGAAGAATGATCAGAAATCTAATTTTTCACTAATTTTGATCCTTTACTGTTCAATTTTGCTTCATATGGACAGATAAACTAGTCAGTTTCACTTTGTAGTTTTTTATTCTGCTTCACTTTTAGGATCCCAAGCACAATCAATGCTGCTAACTTTATAGGGGAATGTTTGTTTATTTAGTAAAGAAAATCCATTTCTGTTGGAGTCTAAAAAGCAGAAAAAACATTTCCATAGGTCTTCAGTTTCATAAATGCTTGGTTTTTGCAAAACCTTCATTATGAGTTAAATTTGACCCACCATTGGCACTTTGAGATGTGTTGGCAGATAATCTGTTCTGCTTTACAGCATGTGTTGCTTTAAGAATGACTGGAATTCTAGGGGGAGGGAGAAGGGAAGCTTTGACCTCCATGTGCACATGTGTTGCTGGCAGCATCCCCTTGCTCTTCACTGTGATTAAATGGATAAATCAAAGAGCACTAGCCCTCTTCCAAACCCTCTGTCTAGTGAGGCTCCTTCTCCTATTTCCTAGTAGCCAGTGTGGATGAAATATTTCCAAGAACATGAGATAAGGTTATCAAGTTCTTTTTGGGGTGGGAGCTAGTAGCTGGCATGGTCACTTAGTTACATTGCTGTCTTTTTCATACAGGTCCGAATGCATCAATAAGTTTGCCTCTGTCTTTGGGACCATGCCCCTGAAAGTGGTGGAGCATCGTGCTGATCCTGTCCTGTACAAAGATGACTTCCCTGAGAAACTGAAGAGCTTCCCCAACATCGGCAGCTTGTAAAAAGGCAGCTCGGAAGCAAACTTGAGTATAAAAAACAATGAGAGAAAAAAGATGACCAGTGCTAAGATGAGCCTGAGGCCTTGAAGGAAAATGCCAGCGTGTGGGTTATAACTGAGGGGAAGAGGATTAATGCCAGGTTCTGATATATTAATCCATCCTTCATAATACACAGAACAGTAATGCAGAGCACTGCAGCTATTTCTATATTACACACAAATACAGGACAGGTTCTGTGCTTGTGGCTACTGAAAATGCCAAACACTTTTTTCCAGTGGAGCCTGCTTATACAGAAGGATAAAGCAGAATCTTGCTGTGTAAGGAGTGCCTTACATGACTCCCCTGTTCTGTTAAATATACTCTTTTGGTGTGATGCAACCACCAGTATAAATGCAAACTGCTTTCAATACTGGCTACAACATGTATCCAGCCTGTTTTTCCCCTTATAAGGCTGGCATGCCTACCTCCATTGAGGTTAGTTGTTGGCTTTAAGTAATTGAGCAACAAAGATCCCTGCCTGGCTTTTTTGCTTAGCAAGATAAATGTTTTTCTTAAAAAAAAAAAAAAAAAAAAAAATTAAAAATCCAATCTTTTGTTGTAGGGTTTAGGGGGCTAAACATTTTTGCATTAAATGAAAAATATTTCAGTGGGAATTGACGCAGATCACAGCCAAGGGGATGGTCTCCTTAATTTAAAGACTTAGATATCCCTACCATCACTACACTTCTCATATGTATGTATAAATCTCAGGTTTTCTGCTATTCTCATAGAAGAGAAGTCCATTCAATATAAAAGACATTTTATGGAGAGGAAAATGTATCTTCTGCCATTACTATGTTTTGCTATCCCCAAAGCTCTTCCTTATCAAGATGGAACAGTTGTTTGTTCATACAGCAGATCCATATACTGGGGTAACAGCTAAAATAGATGTTTGTATATGTGAACCCTCTTCAGAAAACAATGTGCTGTAGGATAGATTGTCATGCACCTCCATCTGCAGGAATTCCACTTTACAGCTGGTGTGTGTATGTGCAGTATATTAATAACACATACTTAGCAAACAAACCCATATAAGCTGCCCTCATTTGAAAAATTGCCAAGGGTTAGCCTGTGATTAACCTATAGAACCCACTGCCACAGGATCTTACTTGAACACATGGCTTAGTATAATTTTTAAAAGGTTAGACATTTGTTATGGAGGGTCAAGGTGTTTCTCCATGGTTAAAGTTGATCTGAATATTATCTGTCTACACTAGAGACAATAAAATTTTCAAGGATGGTCAGTCTTCGTGCTCCAGCATATAAACTGATCCCAAGCTGGAACCAGAGAGAAAGTCTCCTCTTTGCCCAAGTGGTATAGTGTCCATCTATTTGGTGCATTATGGGCAGTTTGCACTTTCCTCACTAGCATCCAGTACTGCAACTGTTGGAGGCATCATATTTGATGGACCATCTTTCTGTTACAGTATGACCATTCTTATAGTTCTGCCAAATCCCAAACAGCAGGGCAAGTGTTAGCACTCTTAGTTCATCCCTCTGCCCTGAGAGTGACAGGCAGCAATGGCAAAAATCAAATGGAAGTCAAGCCAGAAACAGGAAACATCTGCTCCCTGTTTGTGTCACCCCAGTAAAACTTTCCTCATTGCCCAACACAGTGGAGGTGTTGGGAATGAGAAGCCTGTTAGAACAGTAGCTGTGAGGGGATACTTCAACTTAGAACTCTCAAGGGAAGTGTCTGTAAACTAAATTGTCTCATTCTTGGGAATGTTTAATTACCGATAAATTCTAGGACCTTGCAGTCTTTGCTACGTTCTAACTGTGCTGTGGGGGATGGTAGTAGGCAGTGGCAGGAATAGCTGTCCCGGTGATGGTAATGCTAATGACTTTTTGCATACAGGGGGTACCACTGGGTGAGGAACACTGTTTCTCTGCTGCTGAACAGTTCTTCCCTGCAGCCTCCACACATGCACTTACTTCCTGAGTCTGTTAGTTTATGTCTCAATTATGTCCTTGTGCTTAAGAATCAGACTGCAGCTCAATTTCCATAAAGCAACTTGTTTTTAAAAGGGAAATTATGACAGCAGAATATGCTACTGAACTGACCCCAGAGGTGGGGCTAACCTCAGGATGGCAGAGGTTTGGGAGTGTTCCAGAGAGAGAACTTCTCCCATGCACACAGTCTTGAAACTGCTGCAACCTGGTAGTTCCTCCTTAAGTTCATAGGCAAAGGTTACATGTAGTTTTTGCACAAACACTTATAGCACAAGGCAGATTTCAGATAGGGGGGAATATGGTGGCCTAGAAATAGAAGTGGTGGGTGGCAGCCTGACAAAGAAGAGCTCTGTGTAGCTCGAAAGCTTGTCTCTCTCACCAACAGAAGTTTGTCCAATAAAAGATTTTACCTCACCCACCTTGTCTCTCTGAAACCCACCTAAAGTGATCTCTAGGTTTGACACTCTAAGTGATCAACAGCCCCTCATGGCCAAGATCATGTGGACTTGAGCAAGTGTCTCTTCCTTGATAAGCCCAAGAGCCATTACGTCAATTAACCTGTCACATTTTGTCCTGCATCATTTCACAGGTGTTTTTTATATTCCAAACTCTATTTAATGATGGTATGTCTCCATTCTGTGGTATGGAAAGTGACTGAATATAAAGTTGGGCAGCTGTCAAGTCTATAGGGCCACTTCCCCAACCCATTTATAATTGTTGTGTGTTTCTGAAAACGATTCAAAAACTGTAAAATAGCAAAGTGTGTGAGAGAGAGAATTGGGATGATTCTATTGTCGGTCATTAAATTAAGAGAATTGTTAACTGTTCAGCTTGTATGTTTTATTAAAAAAAGTTCAATATGGATATTAAAAAAAATTAGCTCAAAAGTATTGATTGTATTCTGTTTGACTTCTGAAGAGTTGACTGTGTACATTCCCTAAGGAACTGTGGAAGTATTCTGAAAGGAAAACTGGTTTGAAGCCGTTTAGAATCGTTCCCAGTGCGCTCAGTGTAATTGTAGTTTGAGGTAAACTGCTGTTAAGCAGTCTTGCGTCTGCTGATCTTCAGCATTCCAGTGTCTGCCAGGCTCTCATAGCTGCTTCCATGGCAAATTGTGCTTTTCATTAAGGGGTGACAGCAACAATTGAGTCAATTAGCTGAAATGGTGTGGTGATGGTGGTGGCCAGGGCATTACCCACCTGAGGAAACACAGCACAGCCCTGATGGGTATTCCCAGCAGAAATCCTGGGAATGCTGCTAGGCTGCCTGCTCGATGTCTTCATTTTCTGGAGATGGTTGCAGCAATTCTCCAAATGTTCTTGACTTTATCCCTGAATGCCTTGATTGTCTGTTTACTTGGAGAAAGACTGAATGCGTTGTTAACTCCTTCCTTTCCAGACTGGAGTGACAGCTCTGCAATCCTTTCGATCCTACCTTGTGAGATGGTGACAACGTGGGATTACTACATTTCTATAGTAACTGCGCAAGGCCATGTGCTTTCCCTGCCACCGGTTGTTTTGGGATTGGTTTGGGATTTTTTTTGCGTTGACAGTAAACTCTGGGATGGCGACGCTTCAGGTATTCAGACCATTCTCACGCCCCTTACTGCCTGTCTGCAGCCACGTAAAACTAAAATCTGCTTCAGTTGCTTTATTTGAAAGCAAACGTAGTGCTGCTGAAAGTTGTTCTGCATGGGCAGCAGTGGGGATTAAAGTTTTGTCCACACAACAGGCACCAGTGATGCAGGCTTCCTTTTTCACTGTCCCCTAGCGCTGCAAGGAAGCTCAGTCCCTGTGACCCATTCACTTAGCCTCTTTGCTGAGACCGGTGACACAAACAGTTGTGGGGTGTTTTCTTTTCTGTTTTTGAAGTCATTCGTCCACAAAGAGCTGGTCATTTCACATAACACAATGAACAGCCATAGGATGGTAATAATTTTCAGTCATCATCAGTTGCTGTGTGATACAAGGCTTCATGCATCATCCCCAGTCTTCTGAGCCACATAGTTCCCCATTCATTCTCTCTCTTTCTCTCGCATGTGCGTATGTACATACATGAAATGATAACCTGGCACACATGGCTCTGAAATGAGTTCAGTCATAAAGGAATGACTCAGAGCTCGTATGGAGACTGCCACTTATGGGCAGGTATTCTGTTATGAACTGGTACAGAAGGACCAGTAATGCTGTTTCTTGAATTGGAATCTTCTAATCTACTTTGTCATTTGCTGGGTTGGTGCATTAGTTGGAATATAGAGCAGTGATGCACATCCTGCCCACTCCTTTTGCACCTCTTCTCCTCTGGGCTCATATAGTTCAGTTTTTATATGGACAAAGGTCAGTTCAAGTCCCAAATGTAGGTTTGGTTTAAAAACAAGCTTTTCTAAAACCAAACATCACTGGAAATATTTCCATAGTGCTGTTTGTATAACTACAGAAACAGTTTAATTTGAAGGAATAATTTTCTCCTGCATGTTTGTGGTATCCAAAATGGTGCACCATTCTGCTAAAGTATGCCTAGAACTGTACACAAGAGTGAACGTGACTAGATGGTTTTAATTGCACTAGGGGAGTGTAGTGCAAAAAGTAAGCAAAACTGTCAATCTTTAGAATTCTTCCCATTTTTAATTATTTAATACTTGTAAATAAATAATCCTTCTCTTAAAGACAGAAAACATATATTTGAACCTTACAGCGTCTCTTTAATTTTTATATGTTTGGTTTGTCATTTTGTTGTATTGTTTTATTTTTCAGTGAAGAATGATACTTTTGAGAGTGTAAATCTGCAAACTTCTGTTGTTGTTGATGACTGTAATGCACCCAGAGGTGTGCCGGGGGACTCTCAAAACAGCTAGACAAGAACCCTGCTCCAAAAACGTACAATCAGAAACCCAGTCCTGAAATCATATCAATGTTGGGGGGGATCCTTGAGCTTCCGCTGAGCCCCTTGAAGTCAATGGGCCTCCTGCATGATTGCCAGAGTCCACCAAGTAGATCTCATGGTAGGATCAGAGCCTGAAACTTGGATGAGATACAAGTGAGGGAGAGAACAAACAGGAGGATGGAGAAGGGAAAACCAGGCTTCCGTAAACATGATCAGATGGTGACTGAAGACTTGTGTTGGTGAGCAAGAATATTTTTTGGTTTAATGGCTAGTTCACTTCATGAGGGATTGGACTGAGGAGCAAATTGGAATTTTCTGTTGGCTCTAATGGAGACACAAGGAGTGGGGTATAAGCACCTTCATGAGAAGTGATGGGGTCCAGGAGCATGCGGCTGGGTGGTAAAAATCTGCTTCCTGCCACACCCCCGCTTGCACTTTATTTTTGTTGGGGTTCAGACCCTCGGTCACCGGCTTCAATGTGACCAATAAAATGTCAAAGTATGGAACCAGCGTGCAGGTGCCCCTTGTGACCCATGCATGATGGACACCCGCACAACTGTCATCACTTAGCATCTCATTCCTACCTGCTCATGTGGTGCACACCTGTGGCCACTTGGCAATGAACCTGAACCGCTCAGATCAAAGGCCCCTTTGTTCCCTCGTGTGTGTTTATTTTTGACCCACCTTTCATAT